ATGGCCTTTTTGCTATTATTATATAAAACTAGTTAAAAGTTAAAATAGGCAAGGAGGAAGGAATTTTATGGCAAGGCCTCAATCTCTTTAGTTTTTCCCCTGAACATTTATTATAAAAAATTTCCAGCATACAGGAAAGTTGAAAGAATTTTACAATGAACACCTGTACAGCCCACCAATCATCTCTGCAGTTTTAAATCCACATACTCCTCTTTACAGCTATTGAGCCACTACAGAATGAAGGTGGGGAAAACATACTCTCATAAAAAAAGTATCTTCTCTTCAAGTGGACGTAGAAAAGAAACCTCCTGAGTAATCTCTGTACCCACACAGGATTTAGGATAGTGCCTTATTTTTTCAAGTACTCAAAAAATAGTTTTGGAGTTGATTTTCAGTGCAATTAAAGAAAAAACTTTTGTGCTTTGGGTAGTAATAAGTTCCTCCCTACCTACTACCTGATGAAATTTTCAGAGTCATATGAAAATAAATGACCTAACAGTAATTTACACTGTATTATTCCAATATCCATCTTTTATAAGGAATATAAACCTCTCCAGAAAAAGTAAAGAGAAAATAAGGAGGCAGTCTATCACTAAGTCAGAAGTCTGAGAATGCACGGAAGCCAGTGTGCTAAAGAGGTGATAATTAAACCTGATGTAAGTCAAAAGCTTGCGTGTCTTACGATTTGGACACTACAGGGTTTCTACTATGTCCTACATAGATTACTTTCCTCAATACGGTTTCCTATCTTTAATCCCACTTTATCCAGACTCAATAATCATAAAAGCATGCTTTGTTCACTAGACTTCACATACCCACATTCAGTACATATGAGGCAATAATCTAAACATAAAACGTGAAATCAAGGAGGCCAAGTTTAATGAGGAACAGGGTATTTGGCCACTCGAGTGTCTCCCCAGAGATTTCTTATTAGTTGCAAGGGGAAAAATAGTAATTATACTGTGGAAAAACCACACACCACCTTGCCCAAGTGACCAATATTAACATCCTAGGGGCAAATGGACACCTTGTCTCCAGACGCCACACCCCGAGAAGCAACACCTCGAGGAGGACACAGCACCGGTTTTGACCTGGGATGCAGAACCTGCATCTAAACGTGAGGAAGCTTTACACACAGCCATTCTGAGACAGTCTATCAAATAACTTGACATTTTGGAGAATACAGGCCAATGTCATCAAAGACAAAGGCTGAGGAACATGAGATTAAAGGGGACTAAAGAGATAAAAATCAACAAATGCCATATCTATTCCTGAACTTTATTTTTTCTTTTTCTTTTTTTTATTATTCACTCCTTCACTGGTTTCTCTTGGGATCTATCCCTGAACTTGATCCTGCTACAAAAGGGCACTATTGGGACTACTGACAAAACTGGAATATGGAGACTGTGGTTTAAATAAAGGTAT